CTTTGTCACTTCTACTTTTCAGAGCATCCATGTAAGGGAAGCTGCACTCACCTCAATCTGCTAGTCAAAGAAATGGGGTCACAAAACAAGGCGATGACACTAAGAGGCAGGGCAGAAACAGATCCCACATCTGCATAGTTTTAAACGTCTATATGTAAATACAATCTCTCGTATCTCTCTTTCCCCATCCCTTCTTTCTTTCCTTCCTCCTTTTGCCCACCTTCTCTCTCCAGAAAGGGAGAATACATGTGACAAAAATGTTCCAAATTAGTAGATCCTCATATAGGTAGAGTATATAGGGATTATCTAAATTGTCTTGCAAATTCTCTTTAAGTCTAAAACTAGAAAAATAACCCTGGGAGGACATAAAAAACCATGAGGGCTCAGTCCATCCTTAGAAGATAACTTTAATCATTACAAACACATGAGAAACACTGTGGAGTGGGAGTGGGGGGGTGTCAAAAAACTAATTAAGTGGGGTTTTAAATTTTTTTTATTCTAATTTGTTATATATGACAGCAAAATGCATTACAATTCATATCACACATATAGAGCACAATTTCACTTCTCTGGTTGTATACAAAGTATATTCATACCATTTGTGTCTTCATACATGTACTCTGGATAGTAATGATCATCACATTCCACCATCATTTCTAATCTCATGCCCCCTCCCTTCCCCTCCTATCCCTTTGCCCTATCTAGAGTTTGTCTATTCCTCCCATGCTCCCTTTCCCTACTCCACTATGAATCAGCTTCCTTATATCAGAGAAAACACTCGGCATTTGGTTTTTTGGGATTGGAGAATAAAATACTAAGTGAAGTTAGCCAACTCCATCCATTTATCTGTAAATGCCATGATTTTATTCTCTTTTATTGCTGAATAATATTCCATTGTGTATATATGCCACATTTTTAATCTATTCATCTACTGAAGGGCCTCTAGGCTGGTTCCACAATTTAGCTATTGTGAATCAGGCTGCTATAAACATTGATGTGGCTGTGTCCCTGTAGTATGCTGTTTTTAAGTCCTCTGGGTATAGACCGAGGAGAGGGATAGCTGGGTCAAATGGTGGTTCCATTCCCAGTTTTTCAAGGAATCTCCATACTGCTTTCCATTTTAGCTGCACCATTTTGCAGTCCCACCAGCAATGTGTGCCTTTCCCCCACATCCTCACCAAGACTTATTGTTGTAGGTATTCTTAATAGCTGCCATTCTGACTAAGTGAGATGAAATCTTAGAGTAGTTTTGATTTGCATTTTTCTAATTGCTAGAGATGATGAACATTTTTTCATATATTTGTTGACTGATTGTATATCATCTTCTGAAAAGTGTCTGTTCAGGTCCTTGGACCATTAACTGATTAGGTTATTTGTTTTTTGGTGTTTAGCTTTTTAAGTTCTTTATATACCCTAGAGATTAGTACTCTATCTGATGTGTGAGGGGTAAAAATTTGCTCCCAAGATGTAGGCTCTCTATTCACCTCACTGATTGTTTCTTTTGCTGAGAAGAACTACAATTAAACATGTGTGGTGCAGACTTATTCTGATGTTGATCAGACTTATTCTGATGTTGATCACCAGGTCCTAAACATTAAAAATGCAATGTAACTTCTGGAATAAGTAGTTAACTCATTTTTCACTTAGAAAAACAATAGCTTTCAGCAGGTAAATTGTTAGCACTTAATATGTCTAACTGGTACAGCTGCCAAACTCAGAATTAAAAGGACACTGTAACTTCATTTAATACTAAAATGAAATATTATCTAACATTTTATATTTGTAAGATTTTTAGGTCATTTCTATTTTTTTAACTTGGAGTTTTAGTGCAATTCTGCATTTAAATCAACGATCCTTTGCTTGAAATTACATCAAAGAAGTGAACTAAATTTGTTTTAAAAGTGAGGAGCATTACTCCTTAAGGGGAATTACTGATTTGATCTTGCAGGCTAAACTTTGTGACATTGCTAGTATTTGCTTATTTTCAACCCACAAAAATGGCATATTCGTAAATTTTCATCTTATACATCAGTTGGCTAATTCTCCTGTTCGGTCTATAATAAACTATTTTACAAAAAAAAGTAGAGTTCAGTTACCATCGACTTTCAAAGGCAACACTAGATGGCAGTAAATACACAAAAGCCGAGACATGGCAGTTCTCAGCAAGTAATAATGACCATTTTACCCTTTACTCAATTTCGTGCTGATTTAAAATCAAGCTCTAAAAAACATCCTAATTAAAAACCTCACTTAAAATTTAAAGGTAGCTGGCTTTGAAAATGGGAGACAAAAAAAGCTATTGAAACTATCAATTCATCCAATTTTAAATTAAACATCAACTTTAAAAAATTATTGCATTTTCTAAGACTTCTTTGCTTTGCTACCAAATTCTAACTATATAAATTACATTTAGATGCTAATTAATTTGGAGAAAAATTTTAACTTAAATTGATTTTTCCATCAAGATGTCAAAAATGTATACAAGACTTTACTTCAAATATATATTTAGAGTTTACTTATTATGGCTTTTTGGGAATTAGTGAAATCTCAACTCATTTAGAATCCATGAATAAATTATGAAAGTACAGCATGCCATTAACATGTTACAAGGAAAAAATTCTTTTAAAACCAAATAAATACTAACACTATCTAGACTCCAGAAAAAATAAGAAATAAATAATAATTTTATTTTAAAATAATAAATTTAAGATTTTACTTAGTTACCTGAAAAGATATTTCCAGGTTTAAGAGGAAAATCTTATAAAGAAACATGTTAATTTGACCCATTGATAGTTTTGATAAACTTTTCATAACAACCTTTTTTGATTCCAGCTTTCCTGGGGTATAATTGACAAATAAAAATTGTATATATTTAAGTATTTCACAACATATATTGTGAAATGACTAACACAATTAAGCTAAATAACTTGTCCATCACCTCACATAGTTACCTTATAACAATGTGAATCGTAATTTCAGCATGATTTTATAAGCTTACATGGTAACAAACCAAAAACTTACTTTTCCTTATTTGTAAATGTTCCACTTTTTGGATCATTACAAGGCCAGATGGCATTCAGTTGAGGTCTCAGTAACACTAGAATAAAATTAGCTAACTTACTAATTTTTTGGATACTTCTAACACCTTCTCTGAGATTAGTTTTGTACTTACACACAAAATGCTCAATTTATAAGCCAAAGTGAGGGCACTCTCAAATGTAGGAAGTCAGTAAAGTAACAGGAGACAGCCAGCAAATCTCCCAAAGTAAAAGAGAACTGGGCCCTGGGTACCTGATTAAGGTATCATTAAATGCAAAAGAAAGCAGCAGTCTGATCAATGGTACTGTACAAGAAGGAAGATAGCTAGTCGGAAATCAGGAGAAAGAGAAGACAAAATCAAGAGGTGGGCGACACTGAACTCATCCTGCACTGCTTAGAAGTTGACAAATGGACACCAAGACCTGGCTCAGAACAGAGACTTGCTCTGTTTGGGGGCAGGAGTAGTTTTTAGGTTTCTGTGTCCCTCAAGACTATTACATTTTTCCCTGTTCTGACTCACCATTCACCAGGAAATCATTTAATAACCAATTCCACTTGCACTATAACACTAACTACTATGGTCACTGTAAAAGTATCTCCTACCTGAAATCAGCTACTTGACATCCTTATGCATCTTAATAGTATGCAGTTTATGTCAATCCCAAAAGCCTAACTAATTTTGGATGGCAAATAATTCTGTATTGGCAAAGGCAAGTTTCTAGATATTCAAAGTTATGGGGCAGGGGCTGGGGATGTGGCTCAAGCAGTAGCGCGCTCGCCTGGCATGCCTGCAGCCCGGGTTCAATCCTTAGCACCACATACAAACAAAGATGTTGTGTCTGCCGAAAACTAAAAAATAAATATTAAAAAAAAAAACAAAGTTATGGGGCATAACCTAAATCAAGAAGCCCAGCCAGCTGGTTTCTCCCTCTCCAAAGAACCTCCGACTTATTCACTCATTTCTGCAGGTAATAAATCAGTTTTGCAAATAGCTCTCCAAAATTGTATTCAACTCACAACATTCAAAATCAACTTCCTTTTATTTGCCAGGGCCAATCTCTTTCCCCTCCTACACACAACTGTCTAAAATCACTCTCAAAATGCATATTCTACATGTAGCATCTATCATGAACATAGATTCCTATGAAATATGATAAAAGAGCAAAAAGGGCAAAGCAGAATATATTTCTCTAGCTAATTCCAGAAATATACACGTTCATAATTTCATTTCTTCTATTCAACCCTGAGTCCAAAGGCCTTGGGGATATGAAACACCACTCTCTGTTCCTGCTAAATACTGCTTTAACAAATTTCTATAACTGTTCTATTTTTAAAATTTTGAAAAATGAAAGGTTATGGTATTAACAATGATAAACACTAGCAATGAAAAATCTTTGGGAAAATTCTTCTATTTACTTTTGATTAGTGTTTAATTTTTAAGATGTTGTAAGAATCCATATTCTGAAACATAATAACAAAGGAAAAACTGAAAGGTACAGAGACAGCCTACCTGTATTTTGTTTGTTAAATTATGTATTATTCCACAAATTATATTGTGGAGTTTGATAGTGTTTCACAACAAATTTTATATTTGTGGCAAATGAGACATAAATCATTATTAACAAGCATTACTTAGGATTTGCTTAAGAAAACAGAAGTGACATTTCCCCAGAATAGACAAAAAATACCTGTTAAATTTGTAGGATGTTATTCCAAAGAGGATTTATCCACTCAGCACAATAGCTAAAAAAAAGTCACTTCCTATTTGCATCCTGATAGTCTGGGCAGTAACCATAAATAAACAGCCTGAATCCTCATGTCCTCTATTTGAACTGTGCTGCTTTCTTACCAGTAAATGCATGATACTAAATTGTCATGGTCAGCAGGGACAGCACTGCTTTAGAATAGATAACAGAGACATCTGATATGGATGCTATTTCAAATAATAAATTTTCACTTACCTCCACTGCTACTACAATCAAAATGAGGTCTGTTTTTGACTCTGGAAAGACTGCATTCACTTGAGGTGACATTCCAATCAGAGCACAGTTAGTGACCACAGATATGACACTCATTGTTTCAAAAGCCAGCTAAAATAAAGAAGAATGTGAAGTTGTAATGACCATTTTCATAGTTCCTTATCCTTTTCTTTTTCATATTATCTAAAAATCAAGAAAAAGTCTTTCCCCACATTCTACACATTTCAAGTACATTTTAAACTTTTCTCCTGTTGTGTTTTGATTTTTATTTTGTTGAAAAAAGCTATACTGTTAGAAGGTATTGTAGACAATTTGGCTTGACTATCCTGTAGAAATATGTTCTACTGTCTCAACTGGAGGTGATCAGGCACCTGAATTTGGAATACATCCAATACATTGTTAAAGCTATTCTACTCTACTCATATTTAAGAGGAATCTAAAGGGCCACCAGAGAAAATATCTCACAAATACACATAATACTTGAAACAATTTATTTTGTGAAGCTGTCTTTCCACTTTGACAGATCACACAACACATCCAGTTTAGCTGTAACCAATACCAATTCTAAAGAGTGATCCCTTCCTAGTAGCACTTACCAAACCACCATAGAACCTTGGAAATGCAGAGATGCCAGGCTCTACTGAGACCTACTCTCATCCTTGATCTTGTGAAGAAGATCTTGGTGCACACTTCCAGGTATGGATAGAAAACAGTACTGGCCGTGGCTCTTTTTCTTTTTTTAACATAAAGCTCGAGCTATCACTACTTGATAACCACTAATTCCAAGAAATACAAAGTCTTTATTCCTATTATATATTTATCTCTATTGTATCTTCTAATGGTTATTTTGTATATGAAACAGTTACTTACTTCTGTATGTTAATTTTGTGAGTTATTATATCTTCATATTATTTGTAGCAATTTTGATTCTCTGGGTTTTCCCAATCATATAATCCAATGATCACATCATCTCCAAACAGAGTTTTAGCTCTATTCCTACTTTTTATACTTATAATTCCTTTTCTTGTCTAATTAGGTTGGGCAGTAATTCTAGTGCCATACTCAACACTAAAAATGATCACAGACATCCTCATCTATTAAAAGCCATTTGGTTTTGTTTTACTGTGTACTTAATATCTTTAAGTAAAGGTGATCTGTATTATTCTTATTCCTGTTTCTAGTTTTCCTTGCACTCATCTGTGTACACATGTCGGTTCAAATAATTGTATCACATGTTTGATTTCATTTATCTGCCAGAACAGTCAAGACAACAAACAGTTCAGCACCTCAAGGAGTCCTGTTGTTGCCCTTGTATAATTTATCTAGCCCCTCACAGTCACTAAGCTACTTTTCACTTCTAAAATTTTGTCATTTAAAAAATGCTACATAAATGAAGTGATATGTTATGCAACCTCTTTTTTCATTCATTATAACTGCCTGGATATTCATCTAAATTGTTCCACAAAGCAAGAGTTTGTTCCTTTTTATTGCACAGTGGCATTCTATGGTATGAAGAACATTTGGTCTGATTCACTTTTGTGCTATTACAAATAAAGCTGCTATAAACGTTTCTGTACAGATTTTTATATGAACATAATGTAACTTTTCTCTGAGATAAATGTCCAAAGGTAGAATCATGAGTTTATAAGGCAATTGCATGTTCAGTCTGATAAGAATGAGCCAACTCTGTTTCCAGAGTTGTGTGTCATTTTATATTAATTATTCTGCATCCTTACCAGTTCCGGTACTGTCACTTCATTTATTCTAGCTACTCTGATAGGTGGGCAGTAGTATCTAATTGTGGTTTTGGTATGCATTTCCCTGGATAATGTGCAACATCTTTGTCCTCTTTGGAAAAATGCCTGTGCATATGTTTGGTCCTTTCCAAACCAGACTGTTTATTTTCACTATTGAGTTTGGAGAGCTCTTTATATATTCTAGATACTAGTCCTTTATCAGATATGTGGTTTGCGAATACTTTCTCTCAGTCTGTTCATATTCTTTCACATGGGCTTTCACTGAAGAAATTTTAAAAACTGTCATTATATTCAATGTATATATTTTTCCTTCTTTTGAATTATACTTTTGGTTTTACATCTAAAACCTTTTTTCTTTCCTCTAGAACCAAAAGATTGTCTGCATTTTTTTCCTAAAGGTTTTATAGGTTTACATTTTTTACTTAATCACACGATCCATTTTGTGATTTTTTTAATAAAGTGTTCCAATTAATCTGGCACCAGGTTTAAAATGCTGTCCTTTCCCTAAAGAATGAATTACTTTGGCAGCCTTGTCAAAAACCATGGTATGGGTCTATTTCTGAGTTTTCAACTCCATTCTTCTGTGTCTCTCCTTCTACTAATACTACATCATCTTGATTACTGATTACTTGATTATGTAATAAGATTTAATATCGGGTAGCCAGGTAGCATGTCTTGTCCTAACACCTGATTTTTCTCTCTAAAGATTGGTTTAGATATCCAAGTGCTTGTGCTACCCATATAAATTTTAGAATAAACTATCTATGTCTGTAAAAATCCTTACTAAGACTTTTGACAGTTATTGCATTAAATCTATAGATCAACTTGGGAAGAAATGACATCATTATTCTGTTCAGTCTTCTAATTCACAAGCATGTTAAGTTTCTCCATTTACTCAGATCTTTGATTTCTTTCCTCAGAATTTCATAATTATCAGCATTCAGATCCTGAACATGTTAAGTGTATATCTTCAAGTTCTTTGAAGCAATTACAAATGTTGCTTTTTTAAAATTTCTTCACATTTCATTGTTAGTATACAGAACTATGACTAATTTCTGTGTAACAATCCTGAAACCCTACCAAACGCCCTTATTAGCTCTAAGAGAGTTCTGCAGATTCTTTGGAACTTTCTATGTAAACAATCACATCATATGCAACTTGGGACTGTCTTATTTCTTCCTTTTCAATTAGTATGTCTTTTATTCTTTTTCTTGATTATTTACACTAAACTTCCAGTACTTAGGCTTAATAAAAGTAGTGAGAGTACATACACATGCTTGCACTCTTCTCAATCTTAGAAAGAAAGCATTCATTGTTTCACCACTGAGTATGATATGAACTTTAGGATTTTAATAGATGTTCTTTATCAATTTGAAGTATTCTTATTTTTCTAAGTTTGAATGAGGTTTAGCTTTTGTCAAATACTTCATCTGCATTGATTAGTATAATCATGTGATTTTCTTCTTTAGGTTATTATGGTGGATTATATCAATAGATTTTCAAATGCAAAAGCAGGCTTCATCCCTGGACTAAATCCCCCTTATAATGGTATATAATTCATTGCCAAATTATACTTGCTAGTAGGTTTTAAGATGTTTTGTGTATATATTCATGAGAGATTTTTAAAAACTCTTTATGTCTGGTTTTGCTATTGAATTGATAGTATAATTCATAAAATGAATTGGGAAATCTTTTTTCCTCCTCTATTTTCTGTAAATTAGTGTTAATTCTTTCTTTTTTTAATATTTACTTTTTAGGTATAGATAGACACAACAAAATGCTTTATTTTTCTGTGGTGCTGAGGATTGAACCCAGGTCCCACCTGTACTAGGCAAGCACTCTACTGCTGAGCCACAATCCCAGCCCTATCTTTCTTTAATTTTTTTGTTGTTGTTGTTATAGTTGGGCACAATACCTTTATTTTATTTATTTTTATGTTGTGCTGAGGATCGAACCCAGCATCTCGCATGTACTAGGCGAGTGCTCTACTGCTGAGCCATAACCACAGGCCCCAGTGTTAATTCTTCTTTAAATGGTAGAATTCACCAGTGAAATTATCTGAGTCAGATCACTGATTGGCAGGGGAGGGGAGGGTCTGTAATTACAAATTCAATTTCCTTCATGGTAATAGGTCTGCTTAAATGGTCTATTTCATTTTAGGTGAGTTGTGGAAGTTTGTACTTTTTGAAAGAATTGGTTCATTTCACCCAAGTTGTCAAGTTTGTGCTTGTAGAGCTGCCCACAGAATACCCTTGTTACCCTTTTGATGACTATAAGATCTGTAGTGACATCCTCTTTCATTTTTATATTGTTATTTGTCTTTTCTCTCTTTTTTAGTCTTGCTAGATGTCTATCAATTGGAATTTACCTTTTCAAAAGGCCAGATTTTTGTTTCACTGATCTTTTCTATTATTTTTGCTTTCATCTTCACTGGTTTGTACCTTCTCTTTATTATTTCTTTATTCTGCTTGCTTTGAGTTTATTTTCCTTTTCTAGTTTCTTGAACAGGAAGTGAGATTTTTTTACCTGAATTTTTTCCAGCACATGCATTTAATGCTATAAATTTCTTTGTCAGGGCTGCTTTACCTATGCCTCACAAATTTTGATATACAGTACTTACATTTTTATTTAGCTTCACGATTCTTTTGATTTTCTCTGACACATGGCTATTCTGAAATGTGTTATTTGGTTTTTAGGTATTTGGATATTTTGCTGTTATCTTTCTGTTACTGATTTTTAGTTTGGTTCCACTGTGACCATACTTTGTATGATTTCAATTCTGTTCTATGTACCAAGATATGGTCTATCTTATTGAACATTCTGAATGCATTACAAAAAAATATGTATTCTATTGTTGTTGGTTGGAATGTTCTATAATGTCAATTAGATACTGTTATTTGATAGAATCAATAAATTCTTCTGTATTCTTGTTGATTTTGTATTTAGTTGTTCTATCAATTGTTGAGGAAGGAGTGTTGAAATCCTGAACGATAACTGTGAATTTATCTACTGTTCCTTTCTGGTCAGGTTTTTTGTTCACCTCTTGTTTGGTAGATATATACCTAAAGACTGATATTATCTTCCTAAAAAATTATCATCATAGAATATTCCACTCTGGTAATGTTTTGCTCAGAAGTCTACTTTCTCAGATACTAATATGGCCACTCCTGCTTTTTTAGAGCAATAGCTCCATATTTATCTTTTTCTTTCTTTTTACTTTCAATCCATATATATCACCATTTAGACTGAGTTTCTGATAGACTATATATATGTACATACATTTTTTTCTTCAATTGATATCTTTAGACCATTTACATTTTAAATAATCATTAATGTTAGGACTTCAGCCAGTCATTTCTTCATTTTCTGTTTGTTCCTTGTTTTTCATTTCTGTTTTCTTTTTCTTGCCTTACTGAGGTTTACTTAATTATTTTTTAGAATTCCATTTTGATTTATCTATAATATTTTGAGTATGTCTTTTGTATAAATTTTTAGTGGTTGCTCTACGATTACGTTATATAACTTATCATATTCTACTTGTCCCATCACTTACCAATTTGAGTGAAGCATGGAAACTTATCTCTTTTATTATCCCTTTTCTATATTTATCTTAATATTTTCTTCACATGTTTAGAATTATTAGTATTATAACTTTTGCTTCAAACATCAAAAAAACTAAGAAAGCTCAAGAGAAGAAGGAAAGTCTCTATTATGCTCACTTGTATTTTTGGTTGTTATACTTTTTCATTGTAATGATACTGTCATTTGATGGAATCGATGAATTCTTCTGTATTCTTGCTGATTTTGTATTTAGCTGTTGTATCAATTGTTGAGGAAGGAGTATTGAAATCCTGAACAATAACTGTGAATTTATCTACTGTTACTTCTTTTACCATTTCCTTAGTTTGGAGAACTTTCTTTAGTCATTCTTTTAGAAAAGGTCTGCTGACAGGAAATTCTTAGTTCTTCATCCGCAAGTGTCTTGATTTTTCCTTCATTTCTGAAGGATATCTTCTCTTGATGTAGGATTCTATATTAATAAAATTTTTCTTTAAGGACTTGAAACTATCATGCTACTTTCTTCTGGCCTCTGTGGTTTCCAGTGAGAAACTGGCTCTTCTAACTGTTTCTCTCTAGTAGGTAAAATGACATTTTTCTTTTAGTGTTCCCAAATATTTGTCTTAAGTTTTCATATGTTTAGTACAATGTGTCTTGACACAGATTTCTTTGGACTTATCTAGTTTGGTGTTTACACAGCTTATTGAATCTATTTTTTTTTTTTTAGGTCTTTCACCAAATTTTAAAAGTTTGTGGCCAGATTATTTCTTCAAATATTTTTGGCCCCTCCTTCATCATTTCCTATAACTTTAATGAATGTTACAGTCATTCAGGTCACTGAGGCTATGTTTATTCTTATGGTCTATTTTCTCTGTTGTTTAGATTGTGTAATTTCTTTGTTACATCTTCAAGGTCCTAATTCTTTCCTCTATCCCATCTTCCATTCTGCTGTTGTACCCATCCACTTAGTTTTCTGTCTCAGCTATTATATTTGTCAATTATAAAATGTCAATTTGATTCTCTTTTATAGCTTCTCTTTTTTTGCTGGGACAATCAAATTCTTTTTCATTTGTTTCAGGTGTGTTCATAATTACTTGTTAAAGCATTTTTATCATGACTTCTTTAAAATCTTTGTCCAGTATTTCTAACATCTGTGTCATCTCAATGGTGGCATGTGTTGATTATCTTTTTTCATTCAGTTTGGTATCTTTCCAGTTCTTGGTATGATGAGGGATTTAAAAAAAAAAAAAATAGAAACCTGGGCATTTTGGGTACTATGAGGCTCTGGGTCTTTAAACCTTCTGTTGTAGTTGGTCCTGGATGGCACTCCAGCAAAGGAAGAGGGGTAATATCTTGTTACTACCAGGTGAAGGTAGCAGTCCAGGTTCCCTAATGGATACCATTAATAGCTGAGGCAGGAAATCCTTATGATTACTAGAGAGAAGTGGGTGCTCTGGTTTCTCACTAGACCTCCACTAACATCTCCTTGCTGAGAGAGGTACAAATGCCTGATCTGTATTCCCATGTCACCTCCACTGCACACTCCATTATGCTTACTCTGAGTTCACCTAGCAGGAGCCTCATTACTGCCTTTACAGGTAGGAGCAGAAATCTAGGCTCTCATGTGGTCTCCACTGAGACTGCATCAGGGAGGGCCTCTTTCTACCCCAGGAGAAAAAGTCTCTGCCAGATTCTTTCCCTGAGAATTATCAGTTTTAAATCTGTAAGGGTCCTCAGACATCTTATCTGCCCCACATGCCAAATTTAAAATTTTAAAAAGTGAAGCCAGAGAAAGGAAGTTAAAGTTAATGGCTTTGTAAGGTCATATATAGCTATTATGCTGCTGAGTAAGGACTAACCTCTAGTTTTGCTAATCTCTCTTTTAGGGATTGCTTTTTTGTTTGGTGTTTTTTGTTTGTTTGTTTTGTCATAATGTCTCATATTTTTAAAAATATTTTTTCTCAAATAATTACCTGCCATACACCAATACTGGCTGAAGGTTCTGAGAATGGACGTTTGAGGACTCTGCACATTTTTAAGGCATCTGAATTGACTTCAGTGAAATTATTTAGCACAGCAAAGGCAGCTGCTAATGGGTAAACACAGGAGAAAAGGCTCACATAACCAAACTGCAGGAATAACTCCAGGTAATCATCGAAGGTTCCCTGCAAATGTAAATGACAAGAAAGAGGTATTGTTTTAATGTTATATAATAAGAATACTACCCAAAGTGATTTTATATTAAATCACTGAAATATAGAATAAAAAAGATTTAGCTGCTCATTTTCTTGTGCCAAATTACTGAATCATTATATTTTTTGTTTGGCAAACAATGGCAAAGCTAAACATGCTTGCTCAACCAACTAAAAAGAAATAATCCAGTGTTTTTGTTAGAAATGGCACCTTCGCATCATGGACACCCCAGAATGTCAGTCCCCGACCTTCCATTAAATAAATCAATGGTGATCATGCCAGTGAACTTGGTAATGATCACCAAAACTTTACCTTTTCATTAAAAGGGGGGAAAAATCAGAAAAGTTTCCCAGAATCAATGTTTTTATTATTCTAGAATCTAACCCTCGGCTGACAGCAACTCAGATGGCAGATAATGAAGAAAAACAGCTGAGTTTTATGGAATTGTATCATACTTTCGTTTTATCTCCCAATCCTTGGGCTCTGCAGCAGCCTTGAAACATAACAGCATGCATTCCCAGTATCAGAGGCAACAGAGTGGGAATGGAGATCTTTGAAAGCCTCCTTCCCAAAGGGAAGTCATTATTCCACGTGGCTAGTGCTGCTCTAGAACACTCCCACTCAAAAGACTTGTTTTCAAAGTCTCTCCCAGTGCCAAAGGCTTCTCCCTAGGGGTGGTTGTCAAATGTTCCAACATTATGTCTCCCTGGGTGGAGGGTGGAACTCTGACAAACAATAGACTAGCCAGAGAATTAAAGGTAAAGCTGAGGAATGAGAAGTCAATAGGTGATTTAAAAAGCTCTAACACTTTCCTGGGACTCTAGAAGAACAGGCACGTGCATACAACCATATACATGCTCACAACCATATACATGCTCAGGAGAGACCTGAGAAAACTCTATGATCTCACTTCTAATTGACCGTGATGCTATGCACAAACAGGAGCTGCAAACTTCCTGGTGCTTATGGCATGCCCAACACAAAAGCAGAGACCTAACACATAGCTAAGAACACTGAACTCAACAACTGCAAAGTTCACATTCTTCTCAAATGCAAGTGGAACATGCTCCAAGATAGATGTTATGTTAAGCCATGAAACAATTCTCATAAATTTAAAAGTCTTAAAAATCATACAAAGTATCCTCTCTGGAAACTGGAAATCAGTAACAAGGAAATTTCAGAAATTCACAAATATATGAAAATTGAACAACATAAAAAAAAGTGTCGAAGAAGAAAAAATCACATGAGAAATTAGAAGATATTTTAAGACGAATGAAAATAGGGTACAATATACCTAAACTTACAGGATGTCACAGAAGCAGTGGTCAATGGTAAATTTAAGACTGTGAATGCATCTGTTGAAAAATAAGACATCTCAAAACAATATAAACTTCTGTCAAAACAGACTTGAGAAAGACAATTAAACTAAATCCAAAGCAAGCAAAAGGAAATAAATAACTGGATGAAAATAAACAAAATAGAATAGGAAACCAGTAGAGAAGATCAATGAAACAAAAAAATTGGTTCTTAGAAAAACATTTTTTAAAAACATGAATGGATGGATAGATGGATGGAAGGAAAGGAGGAAGAAGTAAGAAAGAAAAACCATTATTTAATGTACTAGAAAAAAAGAGAAGATTCAAATTACTAAAATCAGGAATATAAGAGCGACTATTACACTGATTATAAGGATTATAAGGGAATATTATGAATAATTGGATGCCAAAAGAAAATAGAGTATAGATAAAATGGGCAAACTCCCAGAGTGACACATCTACTAAAAGTGACTCAAGAAGAAAAGAGCATCTCTTCTGTTTCTGGCAAGTAAAGAGATCGAGTTCATAATCAAAAACTTCCACAAAGAAAAGCCAAGACCCAGACAGCTTCACTGGTGAACTCTATAAAATTTAAAGAAGAATTCATAACAGTGTTCAAACTCTTCCAAAAAGAAGAGGAAGGAACAATTCCCAAATTATTCTATGAGGCCTATATTATCCTAGTACCAAAATCATACAAACACATTTCAAGAAAACTATAAACCAATATTTCTTATGAACAGAAATGTAAAAGGCCTCAACAAAATACTATCAAGCTGGATCCAGCAGCATATCAAAAGTAATTTAAACCATGACTAAGTAAAATTAATCCTAGGATTATGAGATTAGTTCAACATATATGTATCAATTAATGTGACCAACCACGTTAATACAATAAAGTTTAAAGACAGAAAAACAAAATCCAAAACCCTTTCATGATAAAAACACTCAACAAATTTGGAATAGAAGGAAATCCCGTCAAGCTGATAAGCCATATCTACAAAACAACCATAGTTAACACATTAAAGGTTAGAGACTGAAAGCTTCCCAACCAAGGTCAGGAATGGGACAAAGACACCTGTTCTTTTCTATTCAACACTGACCTAGAGATTCTAACCAGTAAAATTAGGCAAGAAAAAGAAATGAGCTATCCAGAAGAGTTAAAAATTAAAGCTATCTGTATTTGCAGAAAATATAATCTTATACATTCCTGAAGAACCCACAAAAAATCCTGAGACCTAACAAATGATTTCAGTAGAGTTGCAGGATTCATGATAAACACACAAAAATCAATGGAATTTCTATATACTAGCAATACAAATTGAAAATAAAATTAAGAAAACAATTCCAGTCGTAATAACATTGAAAAGCATAATTTATCTATAAATGTAGCCAAATTAGAGTAAGACTTGTGCACTGAAAACCATAAAACACTGTTAAAAGAAACTGAAATATACCTAAAAATGTACAGACATTCTGTATTTACTAAGGTGGAAGACTTAATGTCATTAAGATGACAATAGTCCTCAAACTGATCTGTAGATTCAGTGCAATCCCAATCAAAATTTCAATTGCATTTTTTTATAGAAATGGATAAGCTAATCCTAAAACTTGGATGGAATTTCAAGGAACCCAGAACAGCCAAAACAATCTTGAAAAAGACAAAGTTCAAAAAAAAAATCACAATTCCTAATTTTAAAAACCTACCACTAAGCTACAGTATCAAGACAGGGTGATACTAGCATAAGGAAAACAGACAGGTCTAAGGAATATAGCATTAAGAATCCAGAAATAAACCCCTACATCAAAGGTCATATAATTTTCAATAAGAGTGCCAAGACCATTCAATGGAGAAGAAATGATCTTTTCAATAAATGGAGGTAGGACAACTAGATATCAAAGAACAAATTTGAACATGACCTCTCCCTCACATCAAACATAAAAATTAACTCAAAATGGATCAAAGACCTAAATATTAAAGCAAAAGCATAGAACTTTCACAAGAAAATCTAGGGGTAGATTTGACTGACCATGGGATTAGAAATAATGGTTTCTTAGATGTAACCCCAAACTCACGTGCATCAAAAAAAGAGAGATAAATCAGACTTCAAAATTAAAAACATTTGTAGATCAAAGGACAATATTAAGAAAAGGAGGGCTAGTAGTATAGCTCTGTGGTGAAACACTTGCCCAGCATGTGTGAGGCCCTGGGTTTGATCCCCAACACTGTAAAAGACAGAAAAAAGAAAGAAAAAGAGAAAGTAAAAAGACAATCCACAGAACAGAAGGAAATATTTGCAAGTTATATATCCAATAAGAGACTTGGATTCAAGCGGGGGCTGGGGCTGGGGCTCAGCGGTAGCACACTTGGCTGGCATGGATGAGACACTGGGTTCGATTTTCAGCACTGCATATAAATAAAATAAAATAAAGGTCTATCAACAACTAAAAAAATATTTTAAAAAGAGACTTGGATTCAAAATATATAAATAATTTTTACAACAGAATAAAAACACAATCCAATCAAAAAATTGGCAAATAATGTGAATATATACTCCTCCAAAGAAGATATACAAATGACCAAGAAGCACATAAAGAAATGATCAACATCTTCAGTCCTTAAGGAAATATATGTCAAACACACAATGAGCTATCATTTCAAACCCACTAGGATGGCTACCAAAAAAAAAAAAAAAAAGAAGAAGAAAGAAAATAACCAGCAGAAAATTGCAAGTTGGGATGAGTACATGTCAAAATCAGGACTCTAATACAGGGATGACAGGAATGTAAACCATACCACTGCTTTTAAAACAATCTTGTGATTCCTACAAAAGTTACTCAGGGAGTTAACTCATATGACCCAGAATGTGGTAATGTATGTTTATACATATATTCATACGAAACCTTATAACATTAGTCATAATAACCAAAATGTAGAAACAACTCAAATGTCCATTACAAATGAACAAAGTGCAGTATATCCATAAAATAGGATATTATTCAGTCATAAAAAGGAATGAAGTGTCAGTACATGCTACAACATGGACAATCCTTACAAGCATTATGCTTAGTAAAAAGAAGTCAGACACAAAAAGTCACATATTACATGATTTCATTTATATGAAATGCAAAGAATAGGTAAATCTGTAGTTACTGTATTAGCTTTTCATCACTATGATGAAATACCTGACAAAATAAACTTGGAGGAGAACAGGGGGTTTTTTGACTCAAAGCTTCAGGAGTTTCAGTCCATGATCAGATGGTTCCATTGCTTTTAGGCCTGAGGCAGGAAGAAATATCATGGTAGAGGGCATGTGGAAGAAAACTGCTCACCTCAAGGTGGCCAGAAAGCATAGAGAAAGAGAGCGCCAGGGGCCAGGAACAAGATGTACCCTTCAAAGGTACCCACCCCTTTCCAGTGACCCATTTCTTCCAATTAGGCCTATCTCCTAAGGTTTCCACCACCTCCCAACAGCACCATCAGCTGGGGACCAAGCCCTTCAATACATGAGACATTGGGGGACGTTCCAGACCAAACTATAACAGACATAGAATATAGATTAGTGCCTGCCAAAGGCTGGGGAAAGGAGGACTGCTGATGGACATGGAACGATAAAATGTCTGGAGTGACAAGGGGTGACAGGAGCACAGACTTG